AGCCTTATGTACCCTCCACCCCACCCTGGGGGGAGTCTGATGAATATGCATCTGCTGGTGTGACATGGCTGCCTCTCATTGGTCCAGGTCATCTTCATATCCTGTCTCAGCTGCTGTTGCTAAGACCATCACGCACACCCAGAAATTATCTTTTTTATTTGTTTGGGCCGTCTGGCCCTCAAGCCCGTTAGGAATGAGCTATCCCACAGGAGTCCATACCCAACACTGCTTTGATGGCCAGTAACCAGTATCTGGATAGTCCAGAGACCTATGATAGAACTAAACATGACTGGTCAAAAAAGAACAAAACAAACAAACAAACAAACAAAAAACAATAAAAGGACTCCTAACGATATTCTGCTATACTCATAGATCAGTGCCTTATCTAGTCATCATCAGAGAGGCCTCCTCCAGTAGCAGATGGGGGAAGATGCAGAGACCCACAGCCAGCATTATGTAGAGTGAGACTCTAAATTGGACGCCTCCATCAGACCCCTTACCTTGGAGCACAAGGAATCCCGCAGAGAAGTAGAAAAGATTATAGGAGTCAAAGGGGATGGGGGACACCAGGGAAACAAGGCACACTGAATCTATGAAACAGGGTTCATATGGCCTCACAGAGATTGAAGCAGCAAGCATTGGGCCTACATAGGTCTACCAGGTCCTCTGTGTATGTGTTGTAGCTGTGTGTTAGCTTGGTATTTTTTGTGAGACTCCTAACTGTGGGAGCAGGTTTATCTCTGACTTCTTTGCCCGCTCTTGAACCTCTTTTCCTTCTGTTGGGTTGCTTTGTCCAGCCTCAATGTGAGGGCTTTTGCCTCCATATTGTATTTTGTTTCGTCATATTAGGTTATTTTCTCTTGGAGGCTAGCTCTTTTCTGAAGGGACATGGAAGTGGAGTGGATCTGGGGGAGTGGGGAGTTGGCTGGGAGCTGGAAGGAGCAGAGGGAGGGGAAATTGTGGTTAAAATGTATTGTATGAGAGAAGAATATATTTTCCAATTAAAAAATCATTTGTTTTAGTTATTTATGTAACATGAATCTTAAAAGGTCTTATAATAAAAAAACCCAGAGCCAGATACTGAGGTGAAAGCTGAATGATCAGAGAAGCAGAACAGCCAGGCTCTAGCTTACCTGTATAAAATCCTCAGCCTCAAGAGAGCAAGTTCCTGTTTTCTCATACCTGATATACCTTTCTGTGTCCTGCCATATTACTTCCTGGGATTAAGGGCGTGTGTCACCACTGCCTGGTTCTGTTTCTCTCATGTAGCCCAGTGTGGACTAAAACTCCCAGAGATCCTCACGGCTCTCTGTCTCCCATGTGATAGGATTAATGTTGTGTGCCACCAATGCCTGACTTCTATGTCTAATTTAGTGTCTGACTCTGTCCTCTGATCCCCAGGTCAGCTTTATTGGGGTACACAATATATCACCACATATTTATATTTGGCTCTTTTAAAATAAACTTGAAAACTTAGGTTAATAGAGAAAACAAACATATGCCAATTGTTCTTTTAAGCTAGAAGGGAGAGTACTCGGTGTTTTTTCCTAATTGGATACACCAGGATTTATTTTGAAGTGTCTATTTGTACTCTATTGTACAACGTTTTGTTGAATTATATTATTTTCATTCATCATACATATATGTTTATATAGTCAGACACACAGACATAGATTCACACACCTTAACTGTGTGTACAATAAGAAACAGAGGATTTTGAGAATAAACTTAAGCTTAAAATTTCACTGTTCTTTCAAGTATCCATTGAGAAAACGTGTATTTGGTTGTCAATTGCTATTGCTTTCAGTTGTTTCTTCTCATCACTCTTCAGCAAGAATTTGACAATTACTAAGATAATAAAATACGGTCTCAAATGTTACCTTAGTTTAGTTTTGGAAGCCAGAAATAAAAAAAAAAAAAAAAACAACTTCTGACATTGCTTACTGTGTCCTTTCACATTTTGAAATTCAAGATGGATGAGAAAATCTTATTCATAGCCTAATACAGTCTATGTCTTATTAATGGTTAGTTTATGATAATAAGAGACCAAACAACCAGCTTATAAAGACTGTTCTAAGGCAGAATATTGTTATCTACCATGAGTATGTAGAACATCAAACAAAAATCACAAGTACTAATGATTTGTATCATTAGCAGGAGAACATACTTCACAGGAGAACACGATTTTTTAGTTCTTCATTGGCTTTGCAGACAAGGTCAGTTATTAAGGCCCTAGATTCATAAATGTTGCTCTGTGTAATAGCTGGTGGGAGGAAATTGCCATTGTGAGAATGTGCCAGATGCCACACCGAGAAAGGAACTGTACCTCCTGGGTCACACTGGAAGAGTCCAATAGACTGGTAACATCTGTTTAAGGCCAGTGCTTTTGAAAACGAGGGAGGTCAATTCTAATGCCCTATTCATTGAATGTCCTGAAAACTGGGTCAGACACATTTGAAAGTGTTAGGGAGTTGGTTTCAGAGAGATTTTCAGAGTCCACCTGTAATTCAAAAGCACGCCTTATGAAGCAGCATTCAAAGTTGAAAGAATTCTGATAACTTTCCAAAATGAGAAATACTTTAATTTTTAAATGCCCCTTGAGTCATTTCTTCATCTCACACACGGAAGTAAGAGTCGATTATCCTGCAAACACATTGATTGACTAGAATAGCTTTGTGAGGCTTTTTGTCTGTTTTATTTATTTATTTAATCTTTTCCTTCTAGCATATGCAGCATGACATCAAAAGTGAGAGCTTGAGTGTAGCATCAATCACTTGAAATTTAGCACCCTCATCTTATTTCAACCTTTCATGGAACAACAGTTAGAAATTGAGGTTTTTATTCCCTTCCAAATTTTATTTAGCTCTTGGTCCTTGAAAGTGTTTGTAGGTTGTACAGCATGCCTTTTTCTTTAGTTAACTATCGTCAAGGACCATGAAAGGAATGATCAGTGGAGATAAAGTGTTATGCTTTATTAAAAGTGGTAGCATTATGTTGGTATCAAATGGACGTGTGGGGGGGGATGTCTTAGTTACTTTTCTATTGCTGTGAAGAGATATCATGACTAAGGCAACCTATAAAAGAAAGTATTTAATTGGGACCTTGCTTAGGATTTCAGAGAATAAATAAAGTCCATGACCATCACGACAGAGAGAGCATGGCAGTAAGCAGGCTGGCATGGTGCTGGAGCAGTAGCTGAAACTTAATTATTGAGGGAGGGAGGGAGGAAGAGAGAGAGAGAGAGAGAGAGAGAGAGAGAGAGAGAGAGAGAGAGAGAGAGAGAGAGACAGAGAGACAGAGAGACAGAGAGAGAGAGAGAGACAGAGAGAGAGAGAGAGAGAGAGAGAGAGCCCTAGCTGGAAATGGGTGTTTTTTTGAGAACCTGCCCCCAGTGACACACCTCCTCCAACAAGACCACACCCTCTAATCCTTTCCAAATAGTTCCATCAACTCAAAAACAAACATTCAAATATATGAGCCTATGGCAGCTATTCTCATTCAAATCACTACAAGGGGAGAACCACAGCGAGGGGAGGATCTCTGCTCTCAGGGCGCTCCTCTATGTAGCCTACTGCTCCAAAGGCTGCTGCATCATTCTGTTGTGCATATGGGCTTTATCTGCAATGATACTTTCAACCTGGAAGCAGTGTTGTTTGCGACAAGATCTTAGCTCTCAGGCAAGAGATCCGGACAATAATCAATGTCGATCATCTAGGTCCAGTCCTAGCTGCTGGGCCTGTATAGCGTTATGAGTCTACCTGGAACCATTTCCTCCTCTGTGAACGAAGAGGCTCACTTATTTGTTTATTCAGCTGATGTCTGCACAATTTCTGTTGTGCCAGGAATTGAGGCAGCCAATAAAGACAGCTGGTGACATGTGGACTGTCATTGTCTATGTAAATAGCTGTCACAGCATTCTTGTGAGCCCCACACTTTAAAACAGCAGATAGAGCTTTGCTTTGCGGACTATGAAGTACCATACAAATTCAAGAGGTTCTGACAGCCAAAGGCAGTGAGCTAAGGCTAAGAGATGAAACTGCAAGCATTTATTAGGTTGAATATGAGAAGAAAATAAAAGATAAGGGAAGTCAGCCCTTGATTATTCTCAGACTGGTTAAAGTTTATGATTATCAATGCCCTTTGGTTCTCCTTCCTCTTCCAACCACAACTATTGAATATTTCCCTGCTCATTAACACCTGTCTAGGAGTGGGAAGGTGAAATGCTAATCAGGCAATTTAGCTAATTGTTAGCTGCTGCTAGGATGCAGGTTTTATTTTTTTCTTCCCCGTTCAGATAAGGAAATGCTGAAATCTTTTTCTAAAATGTTAGCAATGGATTTCTAAACTTTATGTCACCTTCTCATTCTTTCACTTATAAGATAAATTAAAATATTTTGTTTTCAGCAAGGCATTAGAATAAAACCCGGAGATGTCATGCTTCTCAATGTTCTGTTTAAATGTCACATTGCATACTCCTTATTGACTAATATCTAAAAAATGTTAATTTCCTACAACATGACTAACTTAGAAGAGTGGTCACGATTTAATTATTTCAGTTTTAAGTGCAGCCCTATATAAGTGCACTTGCTAAGAGGATTTGGAACAATCAAAAACCAACTCAGAAAATTACTTAAGTCTACCCTCCCCTCTGCCTGTGGTAGACATTACATGACCCTCCCCTAACCAAATAAGGGAGAGGGGAATGTTCTGGGGATTAGGGACACTAAGAATAAATCTGAGCTGTCTCGGATAATGTTGCTTTCCACTCTTTAGTTCATGTTTTCTGACACAGACCCCTGTAATTATCTTAGAGACAGAGCGGGGGCTTAGACAGTATTCTCTAGATACTTAGGCATCTTCTTCCCCTTTTATTTATTTGTTTATTTATTTATTTTGTGCCTGTCTCTTCAGGGCTGGAAAGCCAGTGTGTGTGTGTGTGTGTGTGTGTGTGTTCCTTCAGAGTGCCAAAAAAAAAAAAAAAAGTGCTGAAGAGAGTCCTAGGGAGATGAGGCTATTTTTGTTTGAAGCTGATACTTCTAGCTGAGCCACAAGTACTGCTTGGAAAGGGCTTAGGTTGTTTCCAGGGGGAGAACTCTGCAGAGAAGAGGCAAAGTTCAACAGGACCACGAAAAGCAGCTGAAAACAGCCAGGAAGAGCAAGAGCCCTCCGCTAGCCCTCTACCAGAGTTCAATAATCCTACCATATTCTGCAAAGCACCACTTGACTGCAACTTTTCAACCTGATTGACTTCTGCATCCACCATGACTGAGATCACCGCTGAAGGTACTGTTGCTTGGGGACATTATGTAAATTGACAGCTACAGGCACTCTCCATGCTTCTGTTTCTGCTGTTGTTTTTAGTAGTCATCTTGTTCTGTGAGTCTACACCGGATCTGGGAAATGAAATGAGAGGTTGCCAGCTATGTATGTTGGGGGAGTAAGACAAGGTTTCTCTGGAATTTTGCGTGTGGAAATTCTCTGCTGTGCTGGAAGCCCCACTGCTTTCTCACTTATCACTCACACCTCTATAAATAACTACAGTCCTGAACATGGTGGCTGATTTCTTATCAAGCAAAAATTATATGGCATGTGAGGATGGAGACAATTAAAATCAAAATATTATGCCCGGGGTTTCAATTTAGAAATATGATCCAGAGCACTTTTGCTTCACAGTATTTAAAAGTTGAATTCTTAACCGTCTTCCCTTTCCAGCTAGAGTATACAGATTGCCTGTGTGCATCTTAGATAAAAGCGCTCTGAAGATGCCTATCCATTTTACTTTGATAGGTACTCAAAGACAAAGTTAGAGTTTTCTAAGTCAGATCAATTCAACTTTAAAAACAAGGCATTTAATTCTTAGAATTCCACTTATTTCATGAACTCATTTTTTTCTCTACAGTGAATTTCATATTTATACTAAAATAAATATTTTCTGTTTCAACTCTTATAATAAACCTATACGTGTAGAAGTAAAAAAAATATTATATAATCATGATAGCAAAACAATTTAGACACACACACACACACTTCTTACTAATTAAAGAATCCTTTAAAAGTAATACAAAAATTTTCTCTGACAGCTGTAAGAAAACAAGGCAGGTGATACTTTTGACAATTGCCAAGTTAAATGCCATTTTCTTTTTAACCAGCCTGTAAAATAGAAATCTGTGAATTTTGTCTTTTTGGTGGGTGGAAATCTGTGTCAAAAGTAATTTCCTCTGCAGATTTAGGCAATTATCTGTGAGAAAAAAAAAATGCCTCTTTTTTTTTTTTTAAATCACCTATAGAGATAGTCTGGCAACCCAAAGTAATAACAATCATTACTGAGATGTTTCCATTTAAAGGTTTCTTTGTTTAGGATTATATGCATATTTCCTTTTTGAAACCTCATGCCGTTCAACTAGATAGCATTTCAATCTCTGTTTCACAAAAAGGAAACTGTTATTCAGATATTCCATGACTTGCGCATTGGCACATTGTAGCCAAGATTTGGTGTCAGCTCCTTGACGCCTGCTTGTGTTTTCTCTTTTCTGGTAGAGGGTATCAGATTTACTGTCTGCCAGTTTTAGTTTAGAATTTGCTAACTGAATATAAATAGTATTTTTTTCTATTCCTTGGATATTCTGTATCACGTTGCCCTTATGTTGGTCTTGAGGAGATCTGTCTATAAAAATGTCTTGCTTGTTCCTGCACAAGGTATTAAGAAACCTCTGAGCATTCCCATCAGCCTCTACATTGAGCCTGCGCTGTTGCTGATTCCAGACATCAGCCGGCCAATCATGTTCCTTCACTATAGAGCATGCTCTATACACATTTGCATTTGATCTAGCTCACTTTTCATGAGAGGATAGTTCTTTTGAAACAGAACTATCATTTGTACCTGTAGGGATTTTAAAGACGTTGTGAAACCTCTGTTGTGGGACCCATGTAAAAGCAACTGAGCGAGTTTAAACTGAATTTGTGAGCACAACATATAGTTGCTAGATAGCGATCACTTCCCACGGTCTGGTCTTGATAGTTGAGAGGGTCTGTATCATTTGATCATCAGTGATGTTCGCATTCCTTTTCTGCCATGATGTTTATTTCTCAGAAGAAACTTAGAATGTCAACTCAGTTGGATTTATCTCTGTTGAGGTTCATACCATAGTCGTTTTCCTTGATTTTCCAAGGGATTTTATACTTTTCATTTTAACATGTGATTCCCACTCTGTTTCTTAGCTACAACAACATTATTTATATATATATTTATTTATTCGTCTTTCATTAAAAAGATACATTGTAAAGGTCTTGTTTTCAGTTGTTCTCTCAGCCTTGAGTTGTCTTTTCTTTCATCTACTGTATTTCCCTTACAACCACTTTTGGACAAATTACTGAAGTATAAGCACTGCCTTAGTAACCCCATACCACTTATCTGTCTCCTTTTCTACTCACTGAATATGAAAAGCAAGCATTTTGTTCATCTACACCAAATAAGACCTAGAGTGATTCCTTGGAAGCCTGCTGTCACATTAACTCTAGGTCTCTTCCTTGGATATTGTTAATTAAGGAAGTTCACAGGTTGATACCATGGCTTATCCACCTCTACTGCATGCCAAGTTTACCAACCCTACTGAATCTTTCACATGTATTTTTTTCTATTGATGTTACAAGTTGGATAAGTTCATCCAGTGGAAGAAAGGAAATCATGCTCCATACAGAACAGTGTTTCGGGTACAGAGCACTAGGTGAGACAGAACTCAAAAGTTGAACCCCAAAGAATTTCAGGGAAACTATATCCTTTATTCTAGCTATGATAAAGAAATAGTTACAATGGTAATGATATCATTATCAACATCACTCAATACTTAAGTAACAGAACTGAATACTTAAGACATCAGACTTGTCAAATGCATCCAAATGAAGCATTGTTTTTATTGCTATTTATAAAGTATGAAGTTAAGGTTTAGGTGGGGTTAAGAAATGTGCTTGGCTTGAGCAGGCTTTAGCTTGGATTCAGGTCTGAAGACAGTGAAGTTGAATCAGCCCTCTCATGGTAGCCATTGGGTACCTACACTAGGTACATGCCATCACTAAGTAGGTGTGATTAGACCCAGACTGGAGCAGAATCAACCAGTGCTTAAGTCAGAGGCTTTAAATAGGACTTTCCTCAATTGGCAGAAACCCAGAGATCCCCAGGCAAGCACCAAAGTTAGCTGTGGTTCACACAAATTTTCAACTACATTTTAAAATGATTGCTGAAACTCAAGTGCGTTCAGAGAGACAGTGGAAAACTTAAAGATTTCTGCTCAAGTTGTATAATTAGAAATTAGATTTTCCCCTCTCATCCTGTGCTTAAAGGCAACAGAAAGACAGAAAGATAAATGCCTAAAAGACACGAAAAAGCAAACGGTTGACTAAACCTCATCAATTGACTGATAAAATGAAAGCTAGAATTGACTCTTAAAAAGAGGGATTAAAAAAGACAAGAGAGAGCCGGGCGGTGGTGGCGCACGCCTTTAATCCCAGCACTCGGGAGGCAGAGCCAGGCGGATCGCTGTGAGTTCGAGGCCAGCCTGGGCTACCAAGTGAGTCCCAGGAAAGGCGCAAAGCTACACAGAGAAACCCTGTCTCGAAAAACCAAAAAAAAAAAAAAAAAAAAGACAAGAGAAAGGAAAGAAGAAAGGAAAAGAACAGGAAGAAAGAGAAAAAGAAAAATAATAAATCAGTCTCACATATGGGATAAGTAGAAAAATGAGGATGATTCGTAATTGAGGCTAATATGAACCACTATAGTACAAACAAATACAAAGGAATATTAAGGTGTGGAATACATTAAAACAAGAAGCAATCTATCACTATGGGTGGCATTATTGGACTATGAATCATGTAATATTAAAAAAAATTCTGATGGAATTATTGGCTATTTGACAAACTCTAGCTGTTAGATGAATCTAGGGAACTGCCCTTCAGTGCCAAATGAGATGACCACATCGGGGATATGATTTTAAGCTATTATTATTTGGAGATACAGTATAAATTATACGTGGATGACGTGATAAGCTATTTGTAGTTTTAAACAATATTCTGTAAGGGAAACTACTCAAGATGTGAGTGTGTTAAAACAGAATATGTGCTGAATGATCCATGGAAGGGAATTTATCTCATAATTCTGTGAATATTTAATTATTTCCAAAATAAAAAAAATTGGGGGGAATAGTTAATAAGTTCAGTAATGTAATTTTTAACAAAAGTCTACTTTCTCTTTTAAGAAAACGGAGGCAGAGACGCAGGTAAATTTGATTCAACAGACTGAGACTGCTTTGTTGGAACAGTGAAGGAAGGGCCCAAACCTTGATGAAGGGATGAAGTTTAAACATTAGAGGGGCTGGGGACATCTATTTATATGTAGCTAGCTACCGGGAAGTTACAGCTACTTTTGGTGGTTTGACTGGGAGTAAGGTAGGTTGTTTGTGATACCAAGGTATATTGTTTCTGCAGATGAAGCAGGCTGGTTAAGTTAAGCTGTTCTTTTCTTTTTCTTTTTAATTATGAAAGCTTGGCCAAGAGCTTAGGCTTCTAACTAGCTCTTACAACTTAAATTAACACATATTTTTAAAATCTAGGTTTATGTACTTGGCTCAGCTACCTTTCTTTGTAATGCCCATGCTGCTTGCTCTGCATCCTGGCATCTCCGTGCAACCCTGCCCTTCTTCTTGTGGCTAGGAGCTATTACCCAGTACAGCCTGATCAAATGCCTCACGACCTGAGGCTATTACCCAACATTTCTGAGATCAAGAGGTCAGTGAATCTGCTGGCCACCAAATTTAAAGCCAAAATTGCTCTTTTAATTGATTATTCTGTTGTTGTTAATGGAAAGCAAATATTAATGTATTAGACACAGGGTCTTGAAATACACTTTTTTCTGCTGTTTCTAACAGCAGAAGAGGAAATCATGATTTAATTATATTCATTATTACATGGGTATCTGGAGGTTAGCATCATCTCATTTATCAAAATCGTAAGTGACATTAATTACAGACATTAATTAGCAAAAGTTGTCTTTTAATGTGTTTTGTGGAAAAATCTGAGCAACAGTGTGATATAAGAAAAATCTTCCTAAAAAGTGCTGTAGAGTGGACCTTTTAAAACCCAACCCCAAACCAAATCACACCCTCCCCCCAAAAATAAATCTTAAGTAGGAAGCTCTTGAATGGTAATCTTTTAAATCACTAAGACAAAACAAAAGACAATAATCATTTATGGTAGGTCTCAAACCTAGGACAAATGGCTAACTGAGATGTCCA